CTCACTCACTCACTCACTCACTCACTCACTCACTCACTCACTCACTCACTCACTCACTCACTCACTCACTCACTCACTCACTCACTCACTCACTCACAATATTATCTCTGCCTTTTGCCTTTTCACCTTGGTGAGAAGGCGTTCCTTCCAGGCTTGTTCTTGTTTGTAACTCCAGTTTCAAGTGTTAAAAAACAGAAAGGCTGACATCCCCATTTAAAATAATGAGGACTTGCCATACAACAGATATCATTTCATATCAATGCATTATTTGCCAACAATAATCATCAGCGTCACTAATAATAATAATAATAAAAGACGTGGCCGGACTCAGTTTAGTAAAACTAAGGAAGAGTTGAACATCATTTGTGAAGAGGTCTGTGTTTCCATGGTGATAGATTCCTGGGCTGTCACCACATCAGCAGTAAAAKAACATTCTGACAGCCTGAAAAAACAAATAACTTTATGCTAAAATTGCATCATTCAGAGTTTTACAAGAAACTAGCCCTTCTACTGTAGATGTCCACTGTCCCATAGTTGTCAGGCACACAGGTGATGTGCTTCGTTACCTTACAGGATGCATTCCTTTCTAGTTTTGTCTTTGTGCATAACTTTAGTTGCCCACATTTGTATCTCTGTCCCCAATGAACCAGCGCATGTGAAAGCAGAGGGCAAGAAAGCCGGTCCCCAGGAGGTCACCCAGAGCAGTCAGGTACGGGATGGAGAAATTATCAGGGTCCATTCCTCGACCCCACATCCAGTTAACCATCCAGTCTGACAGGTACAGGAGAATCATGACCTGTGGCATCAAGAAAAGGAGCAAAGACTTACTGCAGTAACATTAACTGTATGATGTCATCATTATACAGTGATATGATATTGTATGATGTCATAATTGTGCAACAATATAATATTGTATGTCATCATTGTGAGGTGACATAATACTTTATGATGTCATTATTGTGCAGTGATATAATACTGTTTGATGTCATCCTTGTGCAGTGATGATACTGTATGATGTCATCATTGTGCAACAATATAATATTGTATGTCATCATTGTGAGGTGATTTAATACTTTATGATGTCATCATTGTGCAATGATATAATACTGTATGATGTCATCGTTGTGCAGTGATATAATACTGTATGATGTCATCATTGTGAGGCGATATAATACTTTATGATGTCAACATTGTGCAGTGATGATACTGTATGATTTTATCATTGTGCAGTGATATACTGTATGATGTTGTCATGGACTAATTATTTATATCGGTTTCACCTTGACGCTGTCCATTACTCATATCTTCTGATAACTTATTTCGGCTCTTAATCTGTTTGTTCCAGGCGTCAGGACTCCGGCAGTGGACTGACCTCTCTTGTTTGATAAGTTAACTCTTTGGGCTGAGAGCCTGTCATTGGCTAGACAGTAATATTTGTCGGATTGTGATTGGTTGTAAACTGTCACATGATGTTAACATGATGTTATATCATTGGCTTGCTGTCTGCTGACGGGAGCCACAACCCGACAGACTTCCTTGATTGTTTTCTGTTTGTTTTTGCTCAAGAATTAAATCATGAGACGAGCATACACGCAGATTTTCTGTGCATTTATTCCAACGTGTTTCTGCATTCTTGATAAACTTGCCACGACAATGTCATCATTGTGCAATGATGTAATATTGTATGGTGTCATCATTGTGCAGTGATATGATACTGTGTGGCAGGGCTATTCAGCTGGCGGCCCACGGGCCAAATCCGGTCCACGTGTGACCAAAATCTGCCAATTGGTTCATTCATCTCTTAAGCCCAAACCCCCGGTTTTCTACTTTAATTACTCTAAGTTCTTTTAGTAGACATAGACATGTTTGGTATCTACAGAAACGTCTGAACCTTGRCTACAAGCTGGTATAAACCATTTCTATGTACACTCAAGATAGTTAAAACTACAAGCAATTGAAGATAGAAAGTGAAAATAAAATTGGTTTAAAAATTTGGCAAGTCAGAGATGTCAAAATAATATTTGTGTCAAATAGGATGCATAATGTGTTTTTGTTTTTGATATTGTTGAATTATGACTACTTTTATAGGGTTCTGTATGTTGTATTCATGATTAATTGCAGCATAAACTATTTCAAAGATAACAGATCTTTGTAATCCTTGGTTTATTTAGATAATAACTAATTGCTGGATGTTTGGCCCCTCAGCTGTTGATCTGCAGTAACTGTGGCCCCCGGAGCAATTTAGTTGAATAGCACTGCTGTATGGTGTCATCATTGTGCAGTGATATAACACTGTATGGTGTCGTCATTATGCAGTGATATGATACTGTATGATGTTGTCATTATGCAGTGATATGATACTGTATGATGTCGTCATTATGCAGTGATATGATACTGTATGATGTCATAATTGTGCAATATATATTGTGCGAGTGGAGCAGCAGAGATTTATGAACCCTTGGATTAGAGTTGGGGGTAGGTGTCTTGCTCAACAACACTGGGGCTCTGGGAATCAAACCTGTGACYTTCTGGTCCCTCAATAGCTGTCCTAACACTGCGCCTCAGTCAGCCCTTTCATTTAACACTAAAACCTAAAGCAGCTCTATCTGGTCATCTTTAAAGAGCTTTTCTGTCAAATACATCAGTCAAATAACAAGGAAAGTGGAAAAAGAACAAAACTCATCCAGTCCAGAATAACATCTGGCAAAAATTAGGTCCAATTTTTTTTTTCAGGATTATAAAACAAGCCTTTCTCAAAAACAGCCTTACATACAGAGTGAAAGAACCCTACATTAGCTTATATTAAACCTTAATGCTTAATTTCAAAATTAGAATATAAATATGTGCATTATTTAACTACATTAATGATTTTGATATTGTACCCATCATCCAAACGAAATAGAAAAAAAGTAACGCAGTAATCTACATAATAGGAAAATACTGTATATAACACAGTAAAAACTATCTGTGGAATTAATAGATGCTCCCAAAGATTACTAATATTTAACCAAACGAAAAATAAACAATGGTATCTTTAATGTCCAAACGATGTAAATAAGCCTGAAGTCTGAACAAAAGTAAACACATGAACACACAGCCTCAGTAAAAACAAGTAAAGCTCACCCAGAAATCAAWGTCTGGATGTCTGGACATTTTGTTTAGTGGTAAACACATTCTTAACACCTTTCTAAGTAATGCGAAGCTGCACTGGGTAAAAAATTTGTACCTGACCATTTTAATGCCACAAAGTAGCTGCTTGACCTCATTGAAAGTCTTGGAGGTGTGATCTGGAAAGACAGATACAATATAGTCCCTGCTCCAACTTTAATCCACTGGTGCTCACTTGTGTAACATGGTTGAAATGGTTCAGGTTTAATCCTGCTAAAATCTGCCATCTGCTGGTCAAAAGTTGAACTGCATTTGCCTTTAGAAAGTGAAGTATTATGGGTAATCCTCAAAGTTACAAGGACTGCTGCAAATAAAGAGCATGTTCTCCTACCAGAGATACCTGTGTACTCATTTTGTGTAAATGCAAATTAAAGAAGACTGGTGCCACAGTTTGAGCAGCTCTTGGTCCTTATTCCCACACAAAGAGAAGTAATCAGAAACACACAGGTCACACTCACACAACGAAAAATATCCAGACAGTCACTGTAAAAATGAAGCTTGCACACAATAACTCGTGGTCAGTCACCGGGTTTAAGCTTCAGTTGCAGAGAGCGATGAGATCACTCCTTGAGCGGGACCTTCTCCAGCCTGAATGCTTCCTTCAGCAGCACGGACAGAGTGGTCAGAGAGTAAGGCTGCCACGATTAGTCAACCAGTCAACCATTATTATCGACTATTAAAATCATCAACTAATTTAATAGTTGATACATCAGTTTTTTTCTAACTTTGTTTTTCTCTCCAAACTGCTGCGGCACCTTGCACTGCTGCGTCTGCCTTTCTTTCCTTGACACACATGCACAGTAGCGGTAATTAGGGCTGCCACAAATGATTATTTTTATGGTCAACTAATCACTTATTAGTCGACTATAAAAAATACAAAGTTAGAAAAAAAATGATTCATCGACTATTAAATTAGTCGCTGACTATTTTAATAGTTGACATAATTGTGACTAATCGTCTAATCATGGCAGCCCTATCAGAGAAAAAGAGCTATTTGAAACATGCTCACCYGGAGAACACGGTGCTGTTCTCCTGGCGAGGATGATGAGGTAAACGTTTAATGGAAATTCATCTTTACTTTAATATGGGGCAAACAAATGTTCATCAGTCAACAGTGAATCTGACTCACAGCATGCGCCGCGGCGCACTAGGCAGTCTCGGCTCAGTTCGCACTTTGGTACTTTAGCAGAATGAGTGCATCCTCGCCAGCAATGGAGGGGTTTATATTTGGCACTTACGTTATTGTAGTAAAATAGGACATGTGGCAGAACAATGTATAACTTGAAATGCTGTAAGATAGGAGAGCAAAAGCATGACAAACAGTTTGAATGTTAAAAGGAAAAAATTTGTATAGGTCCTCTGGACGGGTTCTTCTTTTTTTAATTTTTTTATTTTTTTTAGGATGGCCTCCCTTCTCCCCTTATAGCCACCCCCTCCATACCATTATGTTTTTATTTTATTTATTTTATTTTATTTATTTTTTGTGAAGACAAAATAGAGAGAGAGAAAAACAGAGAGAGAGAAGAAATTAGAAAGATAGAAAGACTGAAATAGCGTAATCGCTATTTCAGTCTTCAA